CTCCCATGGGACCTCCCCCCACCCATGCCGCAGGAAGCCGGCGCTACCTCCATTTTCACAGGAGGTAGCTGGGCTCTTTCTTGGGGGGGGGGAATGACGGGGGGCTGGGTTGTCTCGCACCCCCCCTTGGAATTTCTTCACGCCCCCTCAGTGTGGGAACCTGCTGTACAGGCAGGGCAGGGAACTCTGGTGCCAGCCAGAGACTGGTGCTCCCTGGAAGCTGGGCACTTGTGCAGTCACGCAGGAGAGATTTCAATGCTGCCCCGCTGAGTAGCATCCATAGCCCACCGCTAGGTTTTTTAATTTCTTCTGGTGGTGCACATTCACACAGGCCTCAGCGCGTGTAACAAAATTTATTCTGCACATGGGTGGGGGGGACATCCACAAAGGGGTGGAAAAGATTAGAGGGAACATTGCCAGGCAGCTGCCCTTGAATATTTCCTAGAGCAGCCCTACCCTGCTCAGGTTTGGATACCACTGTGCATGCAGAAAGGGTCAAGATTCCCCTTCTGCAGCAGTTATAAATAACAACCAAGCCACCACCTGCTTCTCAGCTTTGCCCACCTGGGAAACAGCCCTGACTCTCTTCTGAAAGGAGAGGAAAGGAGCAGAGACCTGCTACTGCTGATGCTTTTCCTTCCAGCTGCGGTGTCTTCAGGTTGTTGCTGCAGGGGCAAACAGAGCGGTCTTCTGGAGGATATATCAGCTCAACTAGCTATGAGCCTAGTTTTACAACAGGCTCCATAAAAAAACACTAACCGAGTCAGCACCAAGCAATGGTTCATACAGACTCTGACTTGTTTATACCGCTCTATATGCCAGGCACTGGCATGGACATACAATATTTATATTCCATGTGATTTATTTTATAATTGTCTGCTGAACTTGAGACAGGCAGCCATTTTGGAGGTCTAGTGTGTCTGTGACACCTTGGTATCGTTATGTCTGATTGTATAAGCAAGTAATTTTTATGTGAGGTGAAACTTGGAGGTAAGCAAGAGAAATCCGCCTCCTGAAAGGGGCAGAGTCATCTGGGAAGGTGGAGAGACACCAGCCTAGAAACAAGTAGTCCTGTGGGGCCCTGGAGACTCAAAAATATGTGTAAAAGTCTCAGAGGGGTAGCTGTGTTCGTCTATAACTTTAAAAACAATGAGTAACCCTTTGGTACCTCAGGCTACGTCTACACTATAGAGTTTTTGTGCAAAAACTTGCAGAGCAGCCACACTACAAGAATGTTTTTGCACGCGAAAAAGTAGAGTAGATCGTCAGAAGACAGGGCTTTCTGCACAAGAGTGATTCCTCTTTCTACGAGGAATAAGCCTTTTTACACAAGAGCTCTTGTGCGGAATAAGCACAGGTGCTCTGATGGCCATTCTATGAATGTCAGTCAGAGCTTTCTTGCTCATGAAAGCATCCATGGCAGTGTGGATGCTCTGTTGCACAAAAGCACGTCTCTTGCACAAAAAGTTCTTGTGCAAGAAGTCTGCAGTGTAGATGTTCCCCTAGTGTGGGTCACTGTCCTATGGAGAGGCATTTAGACCACTTATAGCGAGAGATAAGGAAAAGGGAACTCTACAGCCTAAGCTGAGAGCCAGTTGGTTTTATAGTTTCAGCTGTAGCTGCTCCTATGCTAATTTCCAGAGGTCCCAGGTTCAAATCTGCCCAGTGGCATAGTTGGACACCCACAAAATATCAGGGTGTACTCTAATCAACAGGTAATGGATTACCTCAAATGAAGTGATTGTCAGGGATGTTGTTTATAGAGAGGTGATTTAGAAGATGTATTTTGTGGTCTGCAAAGTGCCGGAGCCAATTTGTCTCCACAAGTATCTGGGAAGAAATAAATAAGTTGATGCCATATGTATATACGTCTTGACATTCATTGACGTGTTACCCTGCTATGCAAGCACTGCCCAGGATAATACCTGAACACAGCTCTTGCAACTGAAGTTGCAGTACCAAACCAGGCCAACCTGAGTGTGCGTCTGCTGTCACAACAGGCTGGGTAATGCTAGTTTTAGTAAAAGGGAGGGAAGTGACGTGACGTTAGTGCGGGAAAAACACCGCAGAGTTCATAACCAAACCCATGAGTCAACATCCCATCCTGAGTAGGTTGGGCAACATCCTTTTCCTCTCAGGTTCTTAAATCCAGTAATGTAAATGTCCCTTTCATATGCCCAGCCCATCTCTGCACCCCACTCCCAGTTGCTCAGGACAGACCCAGAGTTTGGAGGTGCAGCTACAGAATTCCCCTCCTGAGTGGGGGGCAGGTAAAGAGGCAGCTTACTCCCTCCACTGCTCACTCACCAGCTGCCTGCTCGCTGCTCTCTGTCACCCCCTGCTCCCATTGGTCACTCGCCAGCTGCCTGCTCGCTGCTCTCTGGCGCCCCCTGCTGCCCATTGGTCACTCGCCAGCTGCCTGCTCGCTGCTCTCTGGCGCCCCCTGCTGCCCATTGGTCACTCGCCAGCTGCCTGCTCGCTGCTCTCTGGCGCCCCCTGCTGCCCATTGGTCACTCGCCAGCTGCCTGCTCGCTGCTCTCTGGCGCCCCCTGCTGCCCATTGGTCACTCGCCAGCTGCCTGCTCGCTGCTCTCTGGCGCCCCCTGCTGCCCATTGGTCACTCGCCAGCTGCCTGCTCGCTGCTCTCTGGCGCCCCCTGCTGCCCATTGGTCACTCGCCAGCTGCCTGCTCGCTGCTCTCTGGCGCCCCCTGCTGCCCATTGGTCACTCGCCAGCTGCCTGCTCGCTGCTCTCTGGCGCCCCCTGCTGCCCATTGGTCACTCGCCAGCTGCCTGCTCGCTGCTCTCTGGCGCCCCCTGCTGCCCATTGGTCACTCGCCAGCTGCCTGCTCGCTGCTCTCTGGCGCCCCCTGCTGCCCATTGGTCACTCGCCAGCTGCCTGCTCGCTGCTCTCTGGCGCCCCCTGCTGCCCATTGGTCACTCGCCAGCTGCCTGCTCGCTGCTCTCTGGCGCCCCCTGCTGCCCATTGGTCACTCGCCAGCTGCCTGCTCGCTGCTCTCTGGCGCCCCCTGCTGCCCATTGGTCACTCGCCAGCCTCCTGCTCGCTGCTCTCTGGCGCCCCCTGCTGGCCACTGGTCACTGGCCAGCCTCCTGCTCGTCGCTCTCTGGCATTTTGGCCCCCAGCATGGCTTTTTTTTTTCTCAACAACTTTCCCCCCGGAGTACCAGCACCTTTTTTCTTAGAAAAGAATCACTGGTCGCACCTATCCATGAAAGTCACCTTTCTGGTGGCCATAACCTCCAGCAGGAGAGTGGGGGAGCTCACCGCACTAATGGCAGACCCCGCTTATAAAAATTTTCACTAAGGACACAGTGACCCTTTGGATGCACCCTAAATTCCTCCTGAAGGACCCTGCTCCCTTCCATGTTAACGAACCCATACACTTACCTGCATTATTTCCCTAAGCCACACACGGTTCCAGCCCAAGCAGCGTGGCAAACCCTTGACATCCGCAGAGTGCTTGCAATCTATGAACAAAATTGTGGAGAAAATCATCCAGACTCTTCCTATCCTTTGCCAAGCGTTCCAAGGGCCAAGCGGTCTCCTCCCAGAGGATTTCAAAGTGGATCTTATCACGTATCCACGCATGTTACACCATCCACAATAAACAACCACTAGACACTATCACAGCTCACTTAACCTGAGCCGTGGCCGCCACGACTGCTGTTCTCAAAAATGTGCCTCTAAAGGGCATTTGCAAGGCAGCCATCTGGTCATCCGTCCCCACGTTTGCAAAACACTACATGCTTCCCTCTGCCATTGCACGATCAGGGTGCAAGGACGGGGCTGCTAGAGAAATCTCTGGTGGCCGGTACGTGGATGCACCAGTACCCAGAGTGGAGCACCCGTGGGGAGACATGTCTCGAAAAGCCACCTTTACTGTACAGAGTGAGTAACTCTCCTATTTCATACCTCACTCAAAAACAACACAGACCCACCCGGGCTTTGTGTCACTCGGAGTAGCTTTGCCAGTCAGGACACTGAAGGGGTTAAGTAGAGACCTCGTGCAAAGCTCTTGGCACAAGTGAGCCGAATGTGTTCTCCCAGCCACCTGCTTTCCCTCTTCCCAGTCGCCCTGCTGCCCTGTGGGGACACGGCTAGGAAGACAGCGATGAGAAATGGTTGTACCAATTGCAGAGGGCAAACAGGAAGCAGAAAAGAAGACGGTTACTGCCTCCAGTGCTGGGTTGGGAGGGGGATGACCCTAAGCCAGTGTTTCCCAATTGGTGTTCTGAGGAACTCCGGGGTTCCGCCAAGCGAAAATAAAGTTTCCGTGAGAAAATTCCATTACAATCACATTTTATGATTGTAAAAATAATAATAATTCATATGATGTGATTTTTGTTTTTAAATAGGTGCAATTAAACTCAATGTTGATCTCACGACCTTTTTTAGCATTTGTTTATTAGTATCCTTTCTTATTTGTGGTCTACTTGCCAGAGGAGACTGTGAAGGCTAGGACTATAATAGATTTTAAAGAAAAGCTAGATAATTTCATGGAGGTTAGGTCCATAAAAGGCTGTTAGCCAGCTCTGAGATGTTCCCCTACTAAAGGCTGGAATACGACTGGCAGCCACAGCTGAAAGTAACTTAAATTTCTGACAGGTACTGTGGTTTCATATACACCCCCCTCTCCCTCCAGGAGAGAGGCCAGGGTGTGCGGATTTGATGCTACAGTACCTGTCAGAAATTTAGTGTCTGGGGGGGGTGGGGGGGGGGGGGGCTCAGGGCAGGGGGCTGTGTGTGTGAGGAGGGGCTGCAGGGAGAGAGCTGGGGTGCTTGGGGGGCTCAGAGCAGGGGTTGGGATATGTATTTGTAAAGGAAGTGATGCCCTAGGCCCCTCTGGAGTCCTACCTTGCGGTGACACAGCGATGGCGGGAAGAAATGCTCTAGGGAGCCGTGCGGGGCTGTGGCAGGGGGGCCTCGCTGTGCCATGGCAGGGACCAGCCGTGCGAGGTGCTGCCCTTGCAGTGTTTGTGGTACAGCCTCCCTTTGCCATCTAAGACCACAAGGTGTTTCCGGCCTCGCAAGAGTAACAGGAGACTACCCAGGAAATGCGCGTTGGGTGTTCACATTTCAGAGTCAACCCGTTTCTGAGAAGAGAAAAGGGAACTAAATTCCTCCCCTCCCCGCAGCAGCAGCCGTGAAGGCAGGACACACGCTCCCAAGTGAACTGACTTGTTCAGTGTGTACCGATTATTTTGAAGATCCCACGTGTGTGGATTGCGGGCACAATTTCTGCCAAGCCTGCATCGCTCAGTGCTGGCAAGGAGTACAAACTTCCACTGTCCGGAGTGCAGAGGAACTTTCTCCCAAGGAACTTCAAACCAAACAGACAGCTGTGGAGTGCAGAGGAACCTTCTCCCAAAGGAACTTCAAACCAAACAGACAGCTGAGGAATATTGTGCAAGCCTCCAGACCGCTGACAATGGAGTCAGTGAAAGAACCAGAAGTGGCGAGTGTGTGTGAGAAACACAAGAGGGCTTTAGATGTCTTCTGTCAGGTGGATCAAATCCCCATTTGCATGGTTTGCCACCTGTCCCAATATCACGAAGAACACTGCGTGCTTCCTATAGATGAAGCTGTCGAGGCTTACAGGGTAAGCAACCGGTGGGAATGGTCAGGGAGGGCTGTTTAAATAAAATAATGATTGAAAAAACAAGAGATACTGTAGAAGGATCTTACGAAGTTTCCTCACTGAAACGTGGCATATGAAATAAGCGTAGTCAGCTTCATTGTCACCTCTTAAAATGTATGAGTCATTTCTGGAGGATCCAAACTGCCCAGGGCATGGTGAAGGTCGTACCCACCACATAACCCATTGTCGTTGATTCTGTTATTTTTATTTGTTGTATGTTTTAGGGAAGAATCGCTCTCACATGGGCAAGTCAGAAATCAGTATCTGTTATTTTTCACGGGGGATGATTAAGGAGGTCTAAATGTTTCTGCTCCATGACATTTGACAGTGTTCAAAAGTGTTTTTAGGCTGCAGTGGGTTAATTGGTTCTCAGTCCTGAAATATTGTCCTCAAGCTAATGTGCCCTATTTTATATACATTTTGCTGTCTGGGGCACTTTGGAACCACATTTTTCTGGGCCAAAACAGGTTAATCACAGCCATTCTGGGCTTCCTAGGTGAGTGCCCTAACCATAGACTGGGATATTGTGGTGTTGGATCTTCTCCATCTGCCTTCTCATGGCTGTGCCAATGGGGAGAAAGAGCCATTTAGGCCGAATAGCGAGAGAGAGATTGAGAGAGATAAGCATAAGAATGATTCTCCAGCCAGGTAGCTAGACCACACACGTAACTGATTATGTATTAAGTAACCATGAAAATATAAAAAGAGGGAAATTCCTCCAAGCAACCAAAACTAACTAGTTTCTTATTTTGTCGTGGTGGTGGTGTTTTGTTTTTTTGTTTATTTGGTTGTTTGTTTTTGTTTTTTGCATAGGATCAAATTCAGAGCTGTATGAAGATTTTGAAGAAGGAAAGAGATGAGATTCAGTCATTTAAACTGAGTGGGGAAAAGAAAAGCCAGGAACTGCTAGTAGGTGCCATTGTTACTTACATGCAAATGTGCCCAGGGATTATCCACACACTATTTAAAACTGAGTTGATAAGAGAAATAGTGAAAAACATGTTCCATTCTGTGAAAGGCTATTCCTCATTCATTGTCACTGTAAAACGAAATTGTTCTCCGAAGTTTTAATAATCCAAAAATTTTCACTGATTACAGGAGAGTAATTTATCAACCAGAAAACCCTTCGTGTAGATGAATGGGGCTTAGTAGAAAGCAACTTTTTTTTCAAGAGAAAGTCATTTGCAACAAAACTTTCCAAATGTGAGAGGAAATTTCAAAACATAAGAACATAAGAACGGCCGTACTGGGTCAGACCAAAGGTCCATCTAGCCCAGTGTCCTGTCTACCGACAGTGGCCAGCACCAGGTGCCCCAGAGAGGGTGGACCGAAGACAATGATCAAGCGATTTGTCTCCTGCCATCCGTCTCCAGCCTCTGACAAACAGAGGCCAAGGACACCATTTTATCCCCTGGCTAATAGCCTTTTATGGACCTAACCTCCATGAAATTATCTAGCTTCTCTTTAAACTCTGTTATAGTCCTAGCCTTCACAGCCTCCTCTGGCAAGGAGTTCCACAGGTTGACTACACGCTGTGTGAAGAAGAACTTTCTTTTATTCGTTTTAAACCTGCTCCCCATTAATTTCATTTGGTGTCCTCTAGTTCTTCAGTTGAAACATTTTCGCAAACATTGTTGTCATTTCAAATTGAAATTTTAATTTTAGTTTTCAAAAGTTGAAACATTTTCTGAATTTCAAGTATTTGCTTTATTCACCTCCCCCTTTTAAATCCCCCCCCCTTTTTTTTTTCTTTTTTTTTTTTGCCACCTAACCTCCCCAGCTTTTGGCCTGCTTGGTTTTCAACAGAGATAACCCCCACAGGACATAAACATCAAGGAATCTGATGCCACTATAAAGACTAGCAGGTTTGGTGCCAGAAAACTCTTACACCTGGTTGCTTTTACTGACACCACCTAGCACAGCTACCTCACTGAAACAGGACAATTTGTGCTGCTGCTATTTGAGTCTGCTGCCCCAGAAAGCTGGTCACTTAGGCCTAAAAAGCCTATTGTAGTAATTGGAAAGATGCCACTTAAGTTCTGGAGTAGATCCATGATAGTGATATCACTGATAGACATTGCCATGTAAAAGATCTGCATTTGAAATCTGCTCTGATTTCCTTGCTCATGGCATGATAGACTAGAGAATGCTCCAGAAACAGCATGAGTCTATTCTTTCAGTTACATTCTGAGGCTTTGCAATGACATGTTCACATCTGCAAACACGCATCTTCATAAAAAGTCCCATAATTCACTCCTTGTTCCTGTCCTGAGCTTTTCCTGTTCCAACGGTGTGATTTCAGAAACAGCTAGAAACGGAAAGGCAGAAGATTATGTCTGAGTTTGAGCAACTGTTCGAGTTTCTGAAGGAACAAGAGCGACTCCTGCTGGCCCGGCTGGAAGAGGTGAATAAGGAAATTGAGAAGAGGCGGGATGAGTATGTGGCCAAACTCTCTGAGGAGCTGTCCTCGTTCAGTTCCCTGATCAGTGAGATGGAGCAGAAGTGCCAGCAGCCAACGAGCAAATTCCTACAGGTGAGACCATGTTCGAAACACCCCAGAGCCTTTCCCAGGGAAAGAAAATCGTCTAATTCTTCACTTTTGGAGAGCAATAGTGAAAGTTCAGAACATACGATATTGCTAAAATATAGATTATTTTTCCTTAAAGGCCTGATAAAAATCCCATTAAAGTCAATGGAAATATACTTCTTGTGTTTACAGTGGGCATTGGATCGAGCCCTAAATGAAAAACAAAATATTTTGAATTCTTATTGGAAAAGACTCCTCACAAAATGGCAGACTCCAACCTGTTTTCCCTGTCTCATTATACAAGACCAAAGGGAAATTCAATAGAATTAGAAGATAACACATTCAAAGCTGAACCAAATGCACACTTTTCCATACATCACCAGATTGATGGTGATGGTCCCTTCCAGTCCTATTATTCTATGATTCTATGATTCTATGATTAGACTGTGGAACTCACTGACACTGGATGCTGTTGAGGCCAAACATTTTGCAAAAGTAAAAAAGGGATCGGATATTTATATGGATAACGGGAATATCTAGAGCAGGGGTGGGCAATAATTTTGGGCTGAGGGCCACTTCAAAAATTTTTGAAGTGGTCCCGGGCTGCCCGGAAGGGGTGGGGCCTAAACCAGAATGGGATGAGGCCAGGATGCTTCTGAGCTATGCCACCCCCAGCCCATGATTGGTCTGGGGGTATGGGATCCCCTTTGCCCCCTCTTCCCACAAGGCACCCATGCCCCTGGCAGGGTGGGAAGAGGTTTCCCATGCTCCCCCATCCCCAGGCCAGTCAAGGCCTAGAGACGGGGGAGCACCGGAAGCCTCCTCCCGTCCTGAAAGGAGCATGTGGCACTTTGAAGTGCCGCAGACGCCTCTCAGGGCCAGAGCAGGGTGAAAACAGCTTTGCTGATTGGCCTGCGGGTGGCAGGAGCGCGAAGCCTCCCCCCACCATACCTCTGCCCTGTGAGGAGCACGCGGCACGTCAAAGTGAGTAAAAGGGTCTCTATGGGCCGGAGGAGGCTTCCCGCACTGCCCCCACCCCCAGGCCAATCAGGGCCTGGAGGCAGGGGAGCTGCATGAAGCTTCCTTTGCCCTACCCCCGCCCTGTGCAAGCGTACGGCGCTTTGAAGTGCCGTGTGCTCCTTGCAGGGCAGAAGAAACTTCGCACAGCTCCCCCTAACTCCCAGGCCAATCAGGGCTTGGAGGCGGGGGAGCACATGACGTCTCCTCCCACCCTGCAAGGAGCATGTAGCACTTTGAAGTGCCGCGTGGTCCTTGCAGTGTGGGAGGAAGTTCCGTGCTCTCCCCCACCCCCAGCCTCTAATTGGCCCAGCAGGGCCTCTGCGGACCGGATCAACCTGCTTGGCGGGACAGATCCCTTTTGCTTACTCCTGATCAAGAGTGTTATTAAATCTCATGCTTCATTGCTTCAGCCAGTCACAAACTATTAGAGACAAATATCTTACACCTTACTCAGAAGCCTCTTGGGGTGTGTCTAGACTACAGAGTTTTGTCGACAAAAGTGGAGTTTTGTCGACAAAACTATACCTGCGTCTACACTACCGCTGAGTTCTGTCGACATAACGTCGACAGAACTCAGCAGTTTTGTCGACGCTGGTAAACCTCATTTTACGAGGCATAACACCTTCTGTCGACAGAGTTTCTGTCGACAGAAGGTGTTATTGCATGTAAACTGTCCTTTGCATCTACACTACCATGTCGACAAAGCGGCTTGCTTTGTCGACAGAACTCAATGTAGTCTAGACGCTCTTTGTCGACAGAAGTTTTGTCGACAGTATCTGTCGACAAAGCTTCTGTCGACAGAAGCCTGTAGTCTAGATGTACCCTAGGACTGTCCATCTTTAGAGATATGGTCGTGAGGAGAAGGAGCTCAGGTCTGGTACAGCCTGGCATATCCCATGTTCTAAACACTAGCTAGAAAAGCTTAAAGATAGAACCAATCCTTACTTATGGAAATAGCTAACATTGAAGCTAAGTTTCCTTTTTATGACTGATTTGGCTGCTCTTCAATGGTAAAATTAAAATTGATATGTGAGCTCTCTGACTATGGTCATTTTTTTTTCTGCCAGAATGGACATTTACCAGGGAAGCTGTTTGTTACTTAGGATAGCCTGAACATGTCAGTTGTTGTTAGAATTCCCAAAGCCTGCTAATTATTTCCATTTTCTAAATGTGCCTCTAAGGGTATGTCTAGACTACAGGGTTTTGTCCACAGAAGTTTTGTCGACAGATACTGTTGACAAAGCTTCTGTTGACAAAGAGCGTCTAGACTACATCCAGTTCTGTCGACAAAACAAGCCGCTTTGTCGACATAACAGTGTGGACGCAAAGGACGATGTAGATGCAATAACGCCTTCTATCGACAGAACTCTGTCAACAAAAGGCGTTATTCCTCATAGAATGAGGTTTACATACATCGACAAAACTGCTGAGTTTTGTCAACGTTATGTCGTCATAACTCAAAGGCAGTGTGGACGCAGGTATAGTTTTGTCGACCAAAGTCCACTTTTGTGGACAAAACCCTGTAGTCTAGACATACCCTAAGTGGCCATCAGGAAAAAAGGTGAAAAAGAAAATGTAGCTTATTGGACTGCTCCAGTTGGTCTCTCGGGTCAAATTCTCTGTTGTAACTAGTATCTGCTGGGGACAGCATTCTTCTCTCCTCGTGTCCCCTGCCTTGAGCCTGGGTGTAAATAGTGACTCTGCTCCCCAATCCCATTGTTCTCCCCCAGCCCCGACTTCCTGTGGCCGCCAGGAAGCTCACAGGAAGGGCCTTGCATTCTCTTTCAAGAAAGGGATGCAAATGCAGACATTCGAAATTGCAAACGAAGCCGGGATTTAAATATCCTGCGCTTCATTTCCATAATTGCATCCAGACGCTATTTCAGAATATCTTATTTCCAGGGCTCGTCAGCCGCGCTGTCCAGTGTTCTGCACATGCGCAGATCACCCGAACCTGGCTCTTCTGGGTTGTAATCTACTCGCCATGGGTATATCGGGGGATATCGGGGAGAGACTTTAAAGCCGGGGAGGTTCGGGGAGGAGGGAGGGCAGCATAGCCTGGGGCAGCCTTCCCTCCGGATCCCCTGCCGACATTCCCAAAGCTGGGGGTGTTCGGGAGATCTCTGTTCCACATGTCACACGACTGAGCCCTCTGATTCCGTGTGCCAAATGGGGTTACACACCAAGCTCGTGAGCTCCATAGACAAACTCCTAGGGCCCAGATCCTGCACTTGCTGCCCTTTTCCATTTCATGGGTTTGTTTGTGTTACTAAATAATAAATAATTTCACCGTGAACCTCCAACAGAGAAGGCTGAATTTCCTTTTCCTTTTTCAATTCCAGGATATCAAAGACACCTTGCGCAGGTAGGTGGCTTCCTTCTCCCTCTTCCTTTCACTTCCCTGTGCAGGGAAGGGATTTTATACCTGTGACATGGCTCCCCAAGGCCTAGCAGTTCAGACTGTGGAACAGGCTCCCAGCTAGAAAGTTGGTGTCAACTGGTAACTGTTCAATAAGCAATTTATTTCTTGTGTCTTATCATCCAGCGATCTCTATCCGTCTGCCTGGCAGACACGCCCTGCACTAAGGCCTTTGGCGTGTACTTTGAGTAGTAGTACTACGGTAATGCCCGGAGGCAAAATCTAGTTAGTGCTTATGCTGGTCACTGCACAGAAGCATAGTATGGGGCCGTACTCAGACTAGTAGTATGCCATACTCAACGGCTGTGTCTACACTGGCCACGTATTCCGGAAAATCAGCCGCTTTTCCGGAATAACTTGCCAGCTGTCTACACTGGCCCCTTGAATTTCCGGAAAAGCACTGACAATCTACTGTAAAATCATCAGTGCTTTTCCGGAAAAACTATGCTGCTCCTGTTCAGGCAAAAGTCCT